TTCCTGCAATAATCAAACTTTTCGCACAAAATTTGGCAAAATTGGGTTTTTCGATATTAGAAAGCCTTTTTCGTGAATAATTTTAGACCAAATTGCAGAGGGCGCTACTTACTCGTGCATTTGATACTTTGATCCGATAAAGTATGTAATGTTTCCTAAGAGATTAAATGCTTACTTACGTTTCCTTACAGTTGTTCAACGGCTTTGTAAAAGTGACCGGTCATATTTTGCAAAACGTCTCGAATTAATTGTCTTGGTTCTCTTTAGCTGCCTTCGACAATCTCGATCACTCTCTTTTAATTTTGGGTTATTTTCTTTTTCACGAGAACGCCTAATCACTTTATCGGAAACTGTTTAACTGAGAGGTTGCAAATGATTTACTTGGATGGTAAGATTCATTCTCTGTACTCCTCTTCCTATATACGTTTTAGCTATATACGCATTTGCAGCAATCTTCGCAAGCATTTATAATTTTATTTTTCAATTTTTCTGCTGTTTCCATTGGAGTAGCGTAAACCAAATTTCAAAGAAAAACTGGTCCACCTCTTCAAATCTACAAATGAAAGATTGCTATAAAATTTATGTTTGTAGCACCTTTTAATTGAGAAAAAAAAAACAAGCTCAGTTCACGACAACTGCAACCAGTTTTGTTAATAGAGGAAGATACGTATTAAAGCTATCACAAATGGGACACGCCGTACAGTTATTATTAATAAGTTAAGTATTATTCTTAAATATTGAAAATTTGCAGTTAAAATTAAATCTAATTTACACCTAAGGTGTAATTTTGTACCATTACTATTACGATAATAGCTAAACCAATAATTGCCTACTTCTGTCGGACAGAGTACACGTCACTAAATTATCAACTCTATGTATAGTTCTAGAAGTAAATGAAAATATTATGCAATTCTAACTTGTTGACTAAAATTAACAAATATCGTAAACAGTTTTGAGTTGCTTTCATGGACCTCTGCGATCAGACAGACGTAGGTATAAAAATAATACATTTGTTTTTCTAGAAAACTTAATTTGCTTATAAAATTTAGGGAAAAATTTCAATCGACCTAGGATACACAAAAAAATGTTAGGAGCCATTACAAATTCATAATAATTATAATAATAGCATAATAATAATATAATACATAATAATAATTATGTGTCATGCTCTGAATCTAGAAATTTAGGTATAGAAAACTATAAACTATATTTATATTTAAAGGCATTGGTTTCCTTTCGCTTCCTACTAACAGTTCCTCTAAAAAATAAGACTAATTATGATGAAGTGTTTATGGGGAGAGTACAAACATCACACTTGGGTTTATTAACGGCATTCGTCAATAAAAAAAATGTCTTTCAAACTGGCCAAATGATTAATGATCGAAAAAGGTAGTCGTTTGTTTCCATACTATTTTATTGACTCAGAAACCTTGTTGTCTTTTTAATAAAATTAAATTTAGGAATAACATGTACACGCTGGATCTTCAGTTTCGAGGGTATATCTCTTCTCATTCACACCACACTAAATTATTCGAATGATCGTTTACGTATAACGTTTATCAGCTTTATAATCAATCACCCTCTGATTTTAAAGTTCTAAACATTAACTCCTATAAACATACTATCAAAAATTACTTATTTGCGTTGGGATGCTACGTCTAGTTTTATAATCCTCATTTGTTATATCTAGTTATGATTTATTTCTTCTTTCCGTACGTGCACACTACACGCTCCTAGCGCTTTATGGTACGAGTTAATAAAAATAAAAAACAACGAAATAAAATGAAAAATGAAGAAGAAAGAAGAGACGCAGACTAAAGTTGTACGGACATATACAACGAATGGAGCATAACCATTGACCAAAAATGACTTTAAACTCACAATTGACATGTAAGAGACAAAGTGAAATAAGTTCGGAATGATAGAGAGAGAACAGAAGAGATAAGGAAGAAAAACAATTAACAATTTATATGCATTCTAAATTGTTTTCTAGTCCTTTTCGCTTAATATGATTTTAAATAAGTATTTCTATTTTATCTTCTTGATTTTAATTTTTACGATCCATAACCAATTATTATTACTATTTACAAATCTTCCGGATTCCAACTGCGTCAGTTATTTATAATTTAAACTTGTGGACCTAGGAGCAATGCAGAAGATTTTTACATTTTATTATAGTAGCTCGTAGAAGTTTCTTTGAAGAAAACGTTATTATTATTTTCCTGCCGAAATGCGCCATTTTCATTTTCCGAGTTTAATGTTTTAAAGTTTAATGATGAATTCTAATTTAGTAAAATGTTATTAAATCAAATAACTTCAAACAACCGACATACCTTGCGTTGCATAAAAAAATTTCTGTGAAATTTAATATTGTTTATATTTACAATCCGTTAACCGAAGCAAGAGCAAATCTAAACAAGTCCGCGTAAACAAATTTATTTATTTATAGGGCCAAAATTACCTTCTTCACAAACGAAAACCTGGTTTTAAAAAAAGAAGAATTAATATATTTGTGTTTTATTACAATTAGTCGCACTTAGTGGAATCACATGACTCCTCCATTCCTAGATAAAAAAATATACCATAGCGTGTGTTTTTTATTCTATTTTTTTATATATGACAATATCTTGGCCATTCTGGTTAATTAGCTTTTGATAATATCTTTTTACTACAAAATCAAAAAGCATTAAAGTACATATAGCTATTATAATTAAATAAGCAAAAATAATCCAAATACATATTTATATTACTGGTCTCCAACTGGAGAAGATTGAATTCTCTAATCTCTGCTTCTGAAGCTAGTTCTTTGATGAGGACTTTTTTGTTAATAATAATAATTAATTCTAATGACAACTTCTTCAACTAAATTATCTGGATTTATAATTGACGTACGGAGTTTGTTCTAAGATATCGTAAATTAATTGATACTTCGTCAATATTTGAGTTAGTCATACAGTGTTAAAAATTGTTTCGTATCTGGTTACGATTTTAATTAATTCTTCAGTCTGTGTAGTTCTTTATTTTAATGTACGTATATTTGCTGAAACATTAGATTAAGTATTATATAATAATTTGTTAGAGTTTTTACTTATTTTACCACTTTTTCGTCTATTGTCGATTGAATTCATTTGTTTAGAATGACTGTGTACTTTAGGATTTTTAAATTTCTAATATTCTGGATTAAGTCATTTATTTGAATTAAACACCAATGGTTAGCTATTATTTTTGCAGTTCCCAACTTATAGGGTGATCGTCCGGGGTTTTTATTTAAGTTGTGAAATTGTATTTCTCCGATGCGATAATTCCAAGAGAGCCCATCATCTAGGACCACATCCAATAACATTTAACTAACCTAACTAACTAACATTTATATTTGTTAAAAACATTAACGAGTGAGTTTTATCCTCATTTAATTTTAGCCTTCTTCTCCTTCTTAGAGTGTTATCCAAATACTTGCGTTGGCGTAGGCCATATGTTTTTGTTAATTGCATCATTTTGGAGATCTTGAATAGTTTGAATTCCATTGCCAAATATTCCGCAACCGCGAGAATTTCTTTCTTTCTGAGGATAAAGCCTTGGAATTTATTTCCTTCTCCTCTCATAATATGTTCAGTAGGATATTTTTCTAAGCTTTAGGATCTCGTAAAGTTCGCGATCTTCTAATTGTGCTTTTCGAAGAACTTCATTTCAAAGCCACAACTCTAATTTATTTATTGAATTTGCTTTTAATGTGCAGTTCTCTACACCATACAAAAGAACTGACCAAATATAACATTGGACGGTTCAGTATATTAGTTGGAATCTTATTTGTAAGAATTTTTTTTAATTTACGGAAGTTGTTCTTGACTGTCCTATTTTATATCAAATCTCTTGTTCTGCATCCTAAATTGGATTTAACATATTTCCCAGATATTTAAATTACGTCACATGTTCAATATTCTCGTGAGTTACTCGTATTCAGGTCCGTGGAATATCAGTCCTACTCATACGCTTATATTATTTTTTATATTTATATTAATTTTCAAGTCTAATCTTGTGCTTGTTTTGTTGAACTTATTCAATAGTTCCTTTAGATTGTTTCTATTAATCACGATTAATGCCCCTACGGTTATTGGAGACCGACTGATGAAACAATCTTTCCGAATATAGATTGTTCAATGGATTCCAAACCTTAAAAATCTAGTTTCTACAATAAAACTGAATCAGTGTTTGGCACTAAAGCTTGTTGACGAATCACATGGAAAAAATACTAAGTATTGCTTAAATTTCAGGACATGTCAGATAAAATATAGCTTTTATTTTGAAAAAAAAAATCCTCAAGAGCTTGGCAATAATGGGATGGAGAAGAGTTTTATGTGATTAAAATGTCTCCGCTCAGCGCACAGAAAAACTAAGATATAATGCGTTAATTGCAAATTGCCGGCTTTGCGAATTAGCAATTTGTAAAAATGGTGTGTAAAAAAGTGTTGTAGTTCTTAAGAAAGAAATAAGCATTTTTTATTTTTACAATTTGATTTTTAGATTACTTAATTTTTTTTCCTGTTTTGCTTCTTCAATAGAAACTTTGTTATGGGCTATCCCCAAATTTTATTTTTTTTTTGTATTCATTTTTAGGTATTATAGAATATAATTTTTTGTAGAAGTTATGAGAAAATAATTTTCTTTAAGTAAGTAAAGACCATTTTGTGGTCAATTTTGGAAATAAAATGGTGTCAGTGTGACCCTACCAAATATGTGTCAAAAGTTGGACCTCCCGGGTTAACTTTATCGTAGTCTCAAAGCTGTCAGCTGTAAACCAAAACTTTTTAAAACCGCTTAAAATTATAAACTTATCCTGTTTTTTCATTTCAAACTAATGTTCGTCTGTCTCATTTATCCTACGGACTTTATTTGGAGGGTACAATGAAACAGTATGTCGCTAATACCCTCACAATAAGACTGCTTTCGACTAAAAATGAAAGTTGAGCCAACGATTAATTAAATTTAGTTCTATTTTGCAGTTCCCGATGAAACTGTGGGATCCTGGGTTAGAAAATGAGAAAACGAACTGACAAATTATCCCAGAGATATATAAATCCGATTTAAAAGGACAAGCAATATGAAAGTACTCCCTCAATGTACAACCACAAAGAAAACTGGGACTAGTGCAATGATTTCCGTCTAAAACAGCGTACGTACCTAAACGGATATGGATGCACACTTATCTGACAACGAAAAACATTATCTCTTACGTAACGCGATTACTCCTACCATTCAAAAATAAAGCGCACGATTCCGCGCGATAATAGATATTATTTGTTAATGGCATTGGAAAAGTTTTTGCGACAGGTTTTGATTCGATAGCGGAAAAATGACAACGAAAATCGAAAATTTGGAGGAGCTGGTAAAGCCGCATTTAAAAAGTGGAGAAGTGGTCCAAAGTTACGATGTTAAAAGGCTGACTGCCCCTGGTGAAAATTTCGGCTCTCTTATGTTAAGGTAGATACTTAATTTTAATTATTTTTAAAAACGCATATACAGTGAACGACTAAAATATGTAACATATTCATTTAAAAATCAGGTAATGGATTTCAAGAAACGTCCATCATAATTTTTTTTGCGCAGTTTTTGCAGTAAATAGAAAATATACAGTGTGGACCAAAAAGTAGATGTCCATACAAAATTCATTTTTTAAATGAAACCCCATTTTTTTATATACATTTTCAAATGTCACTATGCCTGTAGCACACCCTATCTGCTGCTTTTTATAACCAAAAGAATAAAATTTAATTTTGAAAAAAAAAACAAATAAACGGGTAGAACGAGTGAAGTCCTTGAATTGGCACAATCACATTTCCTATCAGTAAAGAAAGTGAATTTGGAGCATCTAAATGAAAACTAGAGAGGCCTGTTTCAGTAGTTTTTGCAGATCGTTTGCATTATTCGCGATTAAAACTGTATCGTGAACAGATAAGTGGCTAGTACCACTGAAGTTCTTAAATTGTTACAGTCACATTTCTGTCAGTAAAGAAAGTGAATTTGGAGCAGCTTAATGAAACCCAGAGAATTGAAATTATAATTTTTATTCGAAATGGAGACAAGACGTTTGTATTTTGTTGAACGCCAAATAGACCCATTACAATATCCACAGTGAGTAAAATAGAGAGAAATTTTATGTGAAAGAAATTATTTTATTACTTGTTAAAAATGCCCACCATTAACTTCTTGACAATGTGCAAATCCGTTTTAAAACCCTGTCAAAACAGTACTGAGAATATTTTCATTAATTTGCTTTATTTCATAACTAATTCAAAATTTTAAATCATTTATATTTTGTTCTTCTTCTTATAAACTTTTGATTTTAAATATCCCCAGAGGAACAAATTCAGTGGAGAAATATCTGGAGATCTTGAACCCTATTCTAATCATTCCCTTCCACCAATCGACTCTCCGGGAAATACCGCGTTTTAATATTCGTGCACTTGTCGAGCAAAATGGGAGCACAATCTGAGTATCGGGCTCCAATAAGATTTTGAACGAAGAAAAGTCCAATAATTTTGTAATTGAAAATCCCAGACATTTATTTGTTGCGGATGTTTATGATTTTATCTCATGCATTGGGACTATTTGGACACCAATACCTAGAATACCTTTAAGTTGCACGTTTCCATCATAACTTCACAAAACTGTAGTTAGCAGTCGGGATCATCTTCGTTTAGCTCCTGTAGTAATGCAACCTTCTACTTTTTCTTTTAACATGCGCAAATCTTCATTTTTTTGAAGCTAATTCAGAAAATGCATGGGATTATCCTTAATTTTCTAGGAATTTTCTCACGATCTTACTCACTGTCGATGTTGTAATGGATCTTTTTGGATATTCTGTATTAAACAGATGAGTTCTTGAGTTCTAGTTTTGTCTCCTAACTAATAAATTCTCTGGGTTTCATTTCAATTTCGGAAAGCGTAATGATCATCAAAATGGCCGGAAAACCACTGAACGTGGATTTTAAGCAGATTTTCGAACCCACATCTAATAAATCTGATGATGAGGTGCAATAGTTCTATAAATATGTAGACATTGGCGTTAAAAATTACTAAAAAGTCACTCTCACCCTGAGTGGGAATGCAAATATTATTAACTATATTGTACATGGTATTAAATCAACAATTGTAGACGTAATCAAAGATATTGCACCAAAGATCCGAAAGCATAAGAGGCAGGAGTGAATGACTAGCGAGATTTTGGATTTGATGGAAGTCCGGAAGCATCAACCAATGTATACCCAAATTCAACTAGAGATCCGGGTTAAGGTTAGAAGAGCAAAAGTACAGTCGATGGAAAAACGCTGCGATGCTGTTGAAGCTTTCCAGAACAAAGGGGACTCGTTTGACTTATATAATAAAGTCAAAGAAATATCACACGTCGAGAATATGGAAGAATTACGTCTTCAATCTTTTCAAAAAAAAATTGGATACCCGAACCAACTTGTAAGCTCTTAACCGAGGGACTATCTGGCTCACCTCACCTCATATTGAAAGATGAGGTCGTTTATGCACTTAAAACTGCAAAAATGCATAAAGCGCAGGGCACAGATGACATTAACATCGAGGCCTTAAAGTCATTAGATGATAAAAATGTGAACATCTTGGTGAAGTTATTTAATCGTATTTATGACACAGGTCGCATTCCTTCAGTCAATAGTCAGTCAACATTTATAATGGTCCCGAAGACTTCCAATGATAAAATGTCAAGACCACCTCTTAATTGCTTTAATGAGTTATCTTTTGAAACTGCCAATTCACACCAGAATATTCAAAAAGTTGGAAGATTTGAGTGGGAAACGCAGTTCGGGTTTAAAAGTGGCCTTGGTAAAAGAGACGCAGCATTCTGTAGGGTCAAGGTGGCAACAATGGATCAACTTTTGTTTGACACGCTGTAGCAAAAAAGTTATGAAAGTTATAACTTTTCATTTTATTTTCAACAAACTATGGCTCCACTACTTTAATTACCCACGATTACTTTTTGACATAATAGGTTGGTTGCATCATGACGACCATTTTTTTTAAGTTTGCAAATGATCCATTGTGTACTAAGGTTAGGGTACAATGGCTCACCCCTAAGTAAACAATGGATCACTGGAGTACATAATGGATAATTATTTTTATAAGTATTAAAGAATGGACATACTAAAATGGATATAATTTTTTATTTATGTTTATAAAAATAAAACAAATTCAGGTATATAAGTAATTGGTTGACAAATCCCTTATTCGCTAGATTATAATTAGCAACTATATTTTGAGACTAGGTACTAATAAGTCAAGTACGAATAGGTAAATGATAACTCACTCTTTTAGTAATAACTAAACACATATCACTTTGGTAACGACTAAACTTGAACAAAACATAAATGACACCTTCTTGATTCTCTAGGTCATAACCAGTAACTAAACTATCTGACCTAAGGACTAGAAAAAAAGAACACAACGAAACTTAAATTAAAATTGAAAATATTGTTGATTTCTTACATCTAGGCGCAATAACTATCGACATAAATATAACTTCTGATATTAGAGATCATAGTAATAAACAAACAAACAGAATTAAAAAATGACTTAATTAACGTTGAGGGCAGATAAATCTAATGGGAAACTATAGAAAGACTGCTGTCTTGAGGTACTGCCCCTACAAATTGGCTTTGGTAATATCAATTTGACGTCATCTTCTTTCACGAAAGATATGTCAGGCATATTGGGAACTCGAAATTTATTTATTTATTTATGTGCCCTGTGCTTTTGACTTAAAATAATACCGTCTTAATGTTGTAAACGGAATTACAGTTGTTCCAGACACTTTGCGGAGGCTATCACCCATTTCAATTCTTAATAAAGCTGCCTTCATACTAGCTGCGGTAGTGTTACCTCTTGTTCGCGGCCTTTCTGGACGTGGCATTCTGGAAACAAACACTGCTTGAAAAAAAAACATCTAAAACTTAAAAATTAATTTACGACCAACTCTCATTCTATTGGGTACACAATGGATCATGATCCATTGTGTACTTACGAAGACTGAGCCATTGTGTACTAGGACGCCATTAATATTTAAAAATTGTACCCAGCCGTAAATTAAACATACTAATCAAAAGTTTCTGCAGGAAAATAAGCCTAATTAAGTACATTTTAAGGCACGTATACCAGCACTAAGTTATAGATATGAAAATACATGATAGAAAGGTTCAAGTCTTACCTTCTAATTCGTATTTTTGCAACCAAGAACCAAAAACAATGATCAGCACAAATCAGCCTGGCCAACGACGCACACCAAATAGTTCGAACGAGTTCCGTTGCCGAATAGAAGTAACGAGTGAGAGAGAAAGTAGATATCTCTGTCCCTTTCGCAGGAATAGCGTGTGAGCCATTGTGCACGCCCTAACGATTGTTGCCACCTTGACCCTACTCACTTGTCTTGATCAACGTAAGGGTGTGCACCTACTATTTGTCGATTATAAAAAGGCATTCGACAATATCACACGTGATGTTCTCTAGATATTGCTCCATAATGATGATATTGATTGATGATAAAGATATTCGGATAATACAAAATCTGTATTGGAGTCAAACAGCTTGGATCACACTGGAAGGGGAATCTGTTACAAAGGAGTTTGAAAGACTCAAGGTCGCTCGCCAAGGATGCATCCTATCACCCATATTGTGGTATGCGGAAAGCATATTCACCGATACTTTGGATGAAATTGACTGTGCAATTAAAGTAAATGGCATTCTAATTAGTAACCTGCACTATGCCGATGACACTGTCATATTTGCTGATAACAGCGAAGATTTACAAATGATGCTGAATAAAATAGACGTTGTTGGAAAAAGCAGGGACTTGAATATAAACATCTCGACTAACTAACTAAACATATGATCATTAATAATCAGCCAGCAAAGAAGTCAACTATTTATATTAATAACGAATCCATGAAGCAGGTTAAATCTTTTAAATATCTTGGCATTGCTATAAACCATGCATTGGATCCACAACAAGAAATTAAATGCCGAATCCAACAGCCAAGTTAAGTTCAAACCCTTCCTTTGTAATTAGTCTATTTCGTTTAAGATCCGTTATAGAATAGTGCAGTATTATGTATGGTCGATATTACTTTATGGCATGGAAACCTGGACCTTAAA